ATGATGCAAGCCGGGCTCTGTCTGATTATTCATCCATGCTACAGAAGGGGAAACTAAGTCACTGAGGCGCTCAAGTCTCATTGCTGGGCCAGAGGCCCACTGGGGCGGGTGCAGCTGGCTGGACCTATGGGGGCAGAAGGAGGCACGCCCAGCCCTCCTGACCCTCCAGGGAGACCCAGCCCTGGCCCCACAGGGCAGAGCTGGAAGGCTTGGACCTGGGCCACAGGAGCACCTGCCAGCCTGCCCTCTCCCCGGGTCCCCCTGAGACAGTGCGAGCAAGTCACGCCCGGCCTTCGAAGGCCTGGGCTGGGCGGGCCCGGCCACTTGTCACCTCCCTGACCTGCACAGGCAGAAAGGAAGGCGGCAGCATAGTTGTGAAGGTGAACAAGTGGGCGCACAGAGGGGGTTGCTCTTGGGTGGGAGACTCAGAGGCCAAGCCAGCAGGCTGGGCTCCTAGACTGGGCCAGCTCTCCAACGGGAAGGTGGGCCCAGAGAGGCCTCTTGGGGGGCGCCCTGTGCCCAGGGCTACCAGGCAGGTCGCTGACCTCGAGATTCAGTCACTGTGCAGCAGTTATAAGCTCTCCCCCTCAAGACACATCCCAGGTGTCACACCCACTCTGACCACAGTGCTCAGCCCTCCGGCCACCCTCACAGGAGAGGCACTCAGCACTCTGCTTCTGAAAGATGGGTGGGATTGGGTGGGTGGAGGGGTGGGTGGATGGATGGATGGACGGATGGGCAAATGAAATCTCTCAGAGCACTGGGATGCTCCTTTTGTAGCACCTCTGCAGAGACCCCACTTTACCAGACCCCTCCACACCCTTGGAGGCTGCTACTCACATCAGCCTGTTGTGTGGACTAGGAAAATGAGACTTGGACAAGATGAAAGAACCCTTGCAGAGCTGCAGTGAGCTCCCAGGGTCCTTCCACCCCAAGCCCACCCTGTCCACCACAATGGCACAGCCACTGTGCACCGGGGGGTGTTGCTAGGCGGAGAAACCCAAGTCGTGAGTATGGGACGCGAGTAGTGAAAGGGCAAGACCTCTCATCTTTCCGCACCCCGCTATGAGTTCATTTCCTGAACTTGTAACACAGGTGATTCTCCTGTCACCTTCTGTGTTTCTTCCTAGAAGCCCCCAACCTCTAATTACATTTTAACTTGCATACAGTAAGTTCACTTTTCCTACCATAAAGTTCTCTGGGGTTTGACAAACACGTGATATCGCGTATCCACCATTACGGTATCATGCAGAATAGTTTCACCATCCTGAAATACGCTGTGTCTTCAGTTGTTCACATCTTCTCCCCAATTCTCTGATGACCACTGACCTTTTTTACCATTGCTATAATTCTGGCCTTACTATATTTCTATGATTAATTTTAAATGTCTCGAAGCCAAAAATATTCTGGAATATCGTATGGGCACTGTAAAATACTTATTTTGTTCTGGTACCGGAGATTGAACTCAGGCCCTTGCACTTGCCAGGCAGGCGCAGTGCCACTGAGTTACATCCCTGGCCCAGGGCACTGTAAATTATGACTATGACTTTGTGTTGTTACTGTAAGTGTTTATTTGCTGACTCTTCTGGAAAATATAGGACATAGCATTATCTAAAAACTCCAATTTGAGATGTTTGAAACTTCTTTTACTAAGTTATAATTGATATACAATAAATTTCCACTGTTTAAATATATGATTTGATCAGGTTTAACATAAATATACACCTACAAAACCATCACCATAAACAGGATGGGAATATATCCACATTCATCATCCACACAAATGTCCTCATCTCCCTTGCCATGGATGGATGGTGGATGGATAGATGGATGGACAGGTGGGTGGATGGACAGGTGATGGGTGGATGGGCAGATGGATGGACAGACGGATGTGTAGATGGGTGGATGGATAGATGGACAGGTGATGGATGGATGGATGGATGGGCTGATGGGAAGATGGACCAGCAGGTGGGTGGATGGAGGAATAGATGGATGGATGGTGGGTAGGTGGTTTTCTTCTCCCATCCACTTTTCCCCACTCAACAAGTAATAACTGATCTCTTTTCTGTCACTATAGATTATTTATGTTTTCTAGGTTTTTAACTAAATGTTTCCATACAGTATGTATTCTTTTTTTTTTACTTCTCTACCCAGTATAGGTTATTCCAAGAACATCCCATAGCTGCAGGTATGAACAGTTTCTCGCTCTGTGTGGATACACTGTACTGTGTTCATTCATGCACCTGTTGACGGATGTTTGAATCGTTTCTAGTTTGAGGCAATTATAAGTAATAAAACTGCTAGGAGCATTGTTGTGCTAGTCTTTAGGTGGAGACATGTTCTTTCCTCTCAAGCAAATACCTGCTAACGACTGTGTAGATAGATCACCAGTGTGTACTGAATTATTTAAGAAACACCAAACTGCATTCTAAAGCCGTTGTACAACGATGTGGTCCCACCAGCAATGTGTGAGGGTTGGTGTTGGACCACAGCCTTGCCAGCACTTGGTGTGTCCAGTCTTCTTAGTTTTAGCCATTTTAATAAGTGTGTGGTGATATTTTATTGTGGTTTTTCCCTAACTGCATTTTACTATGACTAATGATGCTGAGAATCTTCTTAGGTGCTTTTCTGCTATCCACAAATCTCCTTTGGCCAAGCGTCTGCTCAAATCTTTTGACCATTACTTACTGGTTATTTGGGGAGATTTGTTTTGCTGAGCTTGGGAGTTCACTTCCACATTCCAGATACCTGTCATTTATCAGACATACCTATTTGTAAATATTTTTCTCCCTGTCTATGGCTTGTCTTTTCATTCTCTTAACAGAGCTTGTCAAAGCATGCAAGTCAATAATTTTGGTGAATCCAGTTAATGAATTTATTCTTTCACGGATTATGGCTTCAGTATTGTAGATACAAAATCTTTACCTAACTCATATTTAACCAGAAAAAGTTGTAGCCTTTGGATTTCCATGATTCCTTGGGGGGGGGGTTGTTTTTGTTTTGGTGGAGTTTTTTGTTTTGTTTGAATTGGTTTGGTTGTGGTTTGGGTTTACTGAGACAGGGTCTCGCTATATAGTTCAGCCTGGCCTTGAACTCACTATGTAGCCCAGGCTGGCCTCGAATTTGTGGCGATCCTCCTGCTTCAGCCTCCTGAATGTGGACCATGATTCCTTTTGATTTAATTTTGTCCGTGTGTGAGATGTGGCTTGAAGTTTATTTTAATGCACGTGGAAACTCAACTGTTCCCGAGAGTTGGTGAACCCCTCCTCTCGTAGTTTTGGTGTCTTATAAATGGCATTTTATTTTTATATCCAATTGGTTGCTCCTAAGATGCAGTGATAGTTTTTTTTTGGAGACTTCTATGTCCACCTTCCCATGCTGAAGCGCACGGTTCAGTGGTACTGAGCACTCACAGCCTGCCATCGCCACCACCCCTCAGGACACTGTTCACCCTGTAGAACTGAAGTTCTGTCCCCTTGAGCACCAGCTCCCGTGCTGCAACCCCATTCTGCTTTCCCGGCTCTGCCTTCGTGGAGACGCTCGGGGCCTCGTGGAAGTGGAGCCACACGGTGCCTGGCCTGTGGCCAGCGCATTGCACTCAGCCCAGTGTCCTCGAGAGCCCACCACACTGTGGCAGGGGCCCTGTCCTCCTGCTCTCGGGGCCCAGTCATTCCTCTGTGTGTCTGCATCACACAGTGGCGGCTGCTTCTCCATTTGTCCATCAATGGGCGCTGTAGCTGCCTCCATGTTTCAGCTACTGTTAATCCTGCCACTTTGAACATGGGTCTACAGATATCTCATGACCCTGCTTTCAATTATTTTGTGTACAAGATGATCTAAGGGTACAATGAAAAATAATAAGTGAAATAAAAACAAAATAAATGGACAATGAATATTTAAATTTTTTAAATGTATTTCTGTAAAGGTCCCACTGCCATGAATCCCCCTCAAAACACTCTCCTCGTGTTGAACACGCTTAACCCGTCCTTCTTGCCACTTTCTGAAGCAGTTCTGAAAGTTCTCTTTCATAAGTGTCTTTATGAGCTGTGATTAAAAATCTGATGAATTCTGCTGCCAAGTGTCATCCAGCATAAAAACAGGCTCATGAAAACATCACAGTGTGTTCTCATCCACCTTACTCATCAGACCTAGCGCCATGTGACTTCTGGCTCTTCTAAAGGATTGTGAGTGGGAAACATTTTTAATTGATTCAGAACATCGAGGCAGCCAGGACAGCACAACAGCAGACCCTCAGGAGAGAGGACTCCAGAGCTGCTGCAGAAACTGACAAGGACGATAGGATGAGTTGTTCAACTTGAGGGGAGTAATGTGAGGGCATTAATGACAATGCATCTTTCACTGTTACAAATGTTTTACCTTAAAGAGTCGTCGTCTTTTCAATATGCCCCGAAATGGAATTTCTGGGTCGTGTGGTAATTCTGCATTTGACTTTTTGAGGAATCACTAGCCTTTTCTCCACAGTTCTGGCACAATTTTACACCTCCACCTACAGTGCACAAGAGTTCCACTCGCCCATAAGACGATGTTCTTCAAGTCAGGATTGAAAGTACATCCCTGACAGCTTCCGCATCACTACAGCCGTGTGTGCAGTCTGTCATTTGGCCTCCACGTGACAGATCTTCACCATTCCTTTAACCACTTTTTAAATATTTTTTTACTCTATGTGGGCTGTGATGTACACAGAAGTTGAACATTAAACATACCCTCATTTTTTTTCTTTTTTTTTTTAGTACGAAGTTTTTAGTTTCTTTTTCATGATGTGGTAACTATGAAGTGATAGTAGATTAAAATAATTTTTTATTTTTATTTTATATATTTTTCATTAGGGCCATATCCCCAAAAATGAAAGAAAAAATACGAAAACAAAAAACAAAAAAAAAGAGGGTAATGTACAAGTTCCTGTGTGTATAAAGTCATGCTCTGTTTCGGGAGAGCAGCTCATCACAATTTGCTTCATGAGTCAAGGCATGGAAGTGGCTGCATATGGATTGATTTAGAAAATGGTTACTAGTACAGACAAAAACAAAAAAATACAGCTAAAAGGAAGAAACACAACTTCAAAGATTTTTCAGTGATGAGAATCCACATTTGTATTTCAAGATAATGTAGTTTTAAAAAAGAGAAAAAAGGGCCCAGGGATTTAGCTCAGTGGTGCCGCTGCCTGCCTCACAAGCCCAAGGTCCCGAGTTCGATCTCCGATGGCACAGAGAAAAAAGAAAAAACTTTGATGTGAAGTCCTCCTTTTCCTCTGGCTTAAGGAATATCATTTATTCGGCATAAAATCTTTATATGTTCCACATGTTAAGAATAAATGTACATTAAATCTTGTTAAAAAAAAAAAAGTTCGGCTCCCCTCACGCACGCTGGTTATTTCCAGTGTTTGGAGTGGGCTCCCTGCATGTGCAGGGTCTGGCTGTGGCTTCGATCTGCGTTTTTCCAGTGATGAGTGATGTTCAGTATCTCTGCATGTGCTTGGCCACTCACATACCTTGCCTGGAGAAATGTCCCTGCACGGCCTTTGCCTATTTTTGAATAACTGATTTCTGCATGTTGGTCTCACAGCGCCTACAGCCTCCATAGACTCACCCCTCCAAGATGGCAGCTGTTTGTAGATTCCCGTTTTCTACATAGATAACCACACTATCTGTGAACATAGACAGTTTCATTCCTTTTCAGTCCAGATGACTTTGTTCACTTGAGCTGCATTCCCAGCACACCCCTCCTCCCAGCTTCCTGTCTTTCGAGACAGCGTCTCGCAAAGTTGCTACGCTGCCTAGGCTGGTCTTGAACTTACGACCCTCCTGCCTCAGCCTCCCGGAGTTCTGGATCACAAGCCTGTGCCCTGCTCCCTGAGTGTGCTGGCTGATGTCCACGCTGCAATGACTAGAAGTGGTGAAAGTAGGCACCTGCTCATGCTCCTGGTTTCAGGAGGTTGGAAGGTCTTCAGGTATGTACCAGCTGCAGAGTTATTTAATGCACCTTATCTGAAGAAGGAAGTTTCCTGCTGTTTCAGTTTGCTTAGCGTGTTTATCAGGAATGAGTGTGGACTTCTTCAAGTGTGCTTTCTCTGTTTATTGAGATGACCATCTGGTTTGCCATTAGTCACTTAATATGATGAATAATGTTGATTTTTTTTTCTTTTCTGGTACCGGGGATCAAACTCAGGACCTTGCACTTGCGCAGCAGGCGGTGGAACCACTGAGCTAAATCCCTGGCCCTTTTCTTTGTTTTTGTTGTTCTTATTTTGTTTTTTGTTGGTGGTGATGGTGGTGGGGTTTTTTTTGTGGGGGGGGTTGTTTTTGAGACCGGGCCTCACTATGTGGTTCATGCTGGCCTCGAACTCATGGCAATCCTCTTGCCTCAGCCTCCCAAGTGCTGGGATTACCAGCATGTACCACCTCACTCGGCTGCTTTGCTCTTTTTCTTTCCTAGTTTCTAAGGTAGCAGGTCATGGCTGGAGACCCCACTCCCTTTCTAACAGAGCAGTCAGCGCTGCAGTTGGCTCCCAAGCCCTGCTCCAGGAGGTCCCACTAAAGTGGCTTCCTCCTCCCTGAGCTTCTGTCTCCTGGGCTTTCCAACTCCTGCAGCCTCTGTGCCTGTGGCCAGCCTGGGGAACCCACCCATGTCCAGTGCTGTCCAGCAGGGACAGGAAGCCACACCAGCACCTCACACGGGAACCTGCTGCAGAGATCTGGACACAGTGCAGGAGGCCAGACGAGCAAAACCACTGAAGCACCAGCACTGTGAGCAACCAGAAGAGCTTCCACCCCGGGCTGGGGACAGGAGCAGAGGAGAGAGTCCTTCAGCGGGCATGGCAGAGCTGGGGTGGTGGAGTGGGCTAGGGAAGGGTCATCCTGAGGCTGGAGGGACTTGAAACAGCTGAAAAAAGATAACGTCTCTCTCTCCATCTCCTCACAGGGCCTTTCAGGAAGTCCTCTGACCAGGGAGGCTGGAAATATCATTTGGAAAGTCCTAGCCACGTGCATCAGGCAGCTATTGCTGCATAACAAAGCATTCCTCAAACCCATGGCTTCAAAACTAAGCACTGCATAGATGATGGATGGATAGATAGATAGATAGATAATTGATAGATGATTGACAAATAGATGATAGATTATAGATCTATAAATAGGTGATTGATAGAAGATTGATTGATAGGTAAATGATAGATTATAAATAGATGATTGGTAGATGAGTGATCGATGACAGCTATGTGACTGATCGATGACTGACTGACAGAGAGATGATAGAGAAAGGTGGATGATGGATAAGGAGATGATACCTAGATGACAGAGAAACAGACGGGTATACAGATGCGTCACAGGGGGATATGGCGGGGGGGGTGCACATGCATGTGTACATGGGTTAGTAAGCACACGTGTTTTCTGGCATCCCCAAAAGGTCTACAAGCAGTGACACAGGTAGCGATTGCCACACTTAACGCCCAAGCAGGGTTTCCAGACTCTGTCCTCCAACAGAGGGAGCCTGGTCTCCTTCGGTAGCTGAGTCTCTGGACCAGAAAGTGACACGATCACCCCAATGCGCTCAGACACGACAGGGCTACACGAGGACCCCAGCTGCATTGCTCCAGGCTTGGTGATGTGCCACCAGCAGCCAAGCTGAGCAACAAAGCAGAAAGAACACAGGACGACAACCCAAAGAATAAAGTAAATACCCTTGAATCCACAGTGATATACATGATCATGTAAGTACATAAGAAAATGGAACAGCTCATTTTATAGAAGACTTTCAACTAATTAATACAGAAGAAACGAGGGAGGTAGAAAATCACCATCGATGCACAGAGCACGATGGCTGTGGTAATATTTACTGAAAGATCTTAAAATCAGGGGCTAAAGGGTTTGAAGGGAAACGAGCTATTTGCATAAACTCAAAACATCTTCCCCACAATACTTAGTTATGAAGTGAGAAGCGGGAGCTTTGCTGTGGAGGAACTGGACACCACCTGGCAGGTGGCCGAGGCTCACGTCCCCAGCAGTGGGCGATGGCAGCACCTCGGCCCATGGAAAACGCCACGCAGGGCAGCACGGGGCTCCCACGATATTCTTGCCAGAAGTGCATGACTGCGACTTGGATGGCGAGAAGCCCCAGCACGCTCGGGCAGGGCGGTCTTCCACCTGCCCCCCAGCACCTTCACAGTGCCAAGGTCCTAAGAGAGGAGCCGTCACAGAGAGCAGGACGAGGAGACAGCACAACTCTTCAGCCTGCGCTGGGTGGGCAGAGGCCCCAGCACAACGGCCCTCAGCTCCCGGGGACCCTGCGTGTTCACGTAGGCTGTCCCCACAGGCCCCGCGGAGCCAGGCCCCGCAGAACGGTCACCCGCTGACCTCGGAGACCAGCACCCAGGCGCAGTGCAGCACACGCCTGGGCTCAGCCAGCTACCTGGCCCCAACCGCCAGAGGGCAAGAAATTTGTCCCCACCGCCCCCCTGCCCACAGGGCTCCACCAGCCCGTCATCCCTGAGGACACAGTGCCCCTCCGTTCCCCGCGAAGGGCCCATCTCGTCTCATAGGCTGGGAGTGTGGCGGGGCCAGCCGGAGACCCCAAGTGGACGCGCGGCCTCTCACCGTGCGCCAGACGCCAGGAGCACAGGTCGGGGACCCGGACAGGGTCGCCGCGGCCCCTCCTCCCCGCCCCAGAGATCACTGCTCCAGCCGGTGGAGGGATGGGCGCAGCCACCCAGCACCACGGACAAGAGGGGACCACCTCAGGGTCTCCCCAGCCCCCCAGCCAGGAGAGAGCACGACGTCATGGTGTTGGCACCGTGGTGACCCTGGGTACTGAGGGGACTGGGCACAAGGACACAGCTGGGGCACAGGGGAGGCCAGAACGGGTGGCCTATGGAGCCTAAGAAACAAGGCTTCCACTTCACAAACCCACTTCCTCTCCTTACTGTGTACACTTATGTGCACAGCGTGGTATCTGCATCGTGTACTAGTGCTAAAGGGAACTCACTCCATGACTAAAGCCACACATAGCACAGTTGTGCTGTGAGCACTTCAAACCTGCTCTCCCAGGTTCCAAGCTGCAGCACAATGCCTCTGAGCACACTCACCATGCTGGGGTGCTGGATTCTCCCTCCTGGCCACCTCAAGGTTCGTATCCTCAGACCAACCCAGCCCCCAGTCCCTCCTGGCCAGGCCCTGGGATCCCCATTTCACTCTGTGGCACAAAGTGATGCTTAGGGCTCCCCATCTGCCCCTCCGTGTCCTCATTCCCCTCACTACAATGGCCTCCGATACCAGGACCCCTTCCTTCCTGTGGCTGATGAGGACCCACTGTGTGCAGGAACCACATTTCTGTTGTCTGTGCACACACGGGAGCCACATGGGTGACCCCATTTCCGGTGGCTGTGACTCACACTGCTGTGCACGAACATGTGGAGTCCTCTACAATGCACCAGGCTCACTTCCTCTGTGTGGAGCTGCTGGGCCTCACGGGCTAAGAGTTTACCCCTAAGGACGCCCCTCGCCCTCCCACCATGGCCCCACTCACAAGCTTCCTCCTGCAGAGCAACTGCAGGCTCGAGCGGCTGTAGAGCATGGGGAGCGGCGGTGTATAGAGAGGCCGCGGATCTGTGCTTAGAGCCCTCAGCACCCATGGGGGTCGGCGGGACACTCTGCCACCTGGGACATGTCTGCCTAGCTGGCGCACTTGAGCCCAGAGCTGGAAGCCCAGGGAATTTGGATCTGGAGTGACCCAGGCTCAGAGAACACAGGTGGCACTGCAGCCCCAGGTCTGCCAGGCAGAGGAAGAGCCAGTGCTCTGACTGAGGGTGCAGGGCAGCTGGACCCACACCTGGGGCCCAGGGGTACCATGGGGGCAGAGCCAAAGGAGCCCCTGCTCCGACCCTACCTGCGCCCTCGAAGGCTGAGCCCTCCAGGTCTGGGCAGCCCCAGAGGGGAGCACGGAGGCTGAGGCCCTGTGTCCAACTTGGGCCCAGGCAGCACACGAGGGAAGAGGCCAGACCTGTGCACCTCAGGCCGGAATTGTGGCCAAGGATGGGAGCCAACCTGGCTGTCTCTGACTCCTGCCCGGGGGTCCCCAGACAGCAGCCAGCAGGGCTCCTGCTTGTCCCCCTGTACATCCGTGGCAGGAGGGGGGACAGGGGACACATGGGCCCCTCCAGAAGGGCCCCACAACAGGCCTGCAAATGCAGCCTGCTGCTCTTCCCCAAACCTGCCCGAAGGACCAGCCTTTTACCAGGGACACTGCCCTGGGTAAAAGGAAGCCGAGAGCCCCTCCGGCCTCCCAGACACCAGCTCTGAGGGAACAAAGATTCCCAGAGACCTGGCTCTCCCGGAGGTGGGGGGCTGGGGAACCACTGAGTCACAGCCTGGGTCCAGCCCACATCACTGGGCCACGGTATCGCCTCAGTTCTGGGAAGAGACTCCGCTGCCCAAGCTGCTGCTGCCCAGCTGTCCACCAACATGCCGGTGACTGCAGGGCCACGCAGCTGTGACGTGGGTCGCTCCGAGCCATCAGGCATTCCCGCGAAGTTGATGTTTGCTTTCATTTCCCACGTGCAGGGCTGGGGAGAGAGGCTGTAAAGTGATCCTCAGAGACAGCCAGCAGCCAAGGCTCACAGGGCGCTCATTCAGCCCTTCAGCCCCAGCGAGGGTGGCGCCATCTGAGCCCAGCACAGAGAGGGGACCAGGACCCCAATCACCCCTCGACCCCAGCGTGGGTCCTCAGCACAGGATGAGGGGACGGAGCTGCCTTCCTGACCCAGGTCCATGCTGCACACGCCCTGTGCACATGAAACACTTTCTGTTCAGAAAGCTATGCTAGTCAACAAAAAGAACTGAGTACGGAATTGTCTTCCCACGGGCTGCTCACAGTCTGCTAGGTGTGCAGGTGCACCCCTCTAATCCCGGCACCCTGGAGGCCGAGACAGGAGGCTCACCTCAAGCTTGAGGTCACCCTAGGCTACGTAGTGAGTTCAAGTCCAACCTGAATACATGGCAAGATTCTGTCCCAAACACAAAAACAAAAAGCAGACTGTCTGGGCTGGAGACTTAGCTCAGTGGCGCCCCGCCTGCCTGGCGAGCGCAAGTTCCTGAGTAGCTGCTTGGTAGGGTCAGGGCAGCCTCAGAGAGTGGAGACTCTGGGGCGAGGGGAGAGGGATGCTGCTGCCACCCGCAGTCTGTATTCCGGGACCGAGTGCGGGTCTCCAGCTTCATATGGAAACAAGGCTGCGCTGGCCTCTGGGAGGGGGGCCTGGCCATCACACAATGGACAGGGCCCGTGGTGTCCATTGCAGACAAAGCTGGAGAGGCCCGGGGCCCACAGGGGCACCGAGGCCATGACCTGGGTCCCAGCCCTCAGCAGCCGTCACTCTGATCACATGGGGAGGAGGGGCCGGGCCCTGGTGGGGGTGGAAGCTGGGGGCCGGGGCCCGAGCCCAGCACAGCCCAGTACTGGAGTTGGGGAGATGCCTTGCACCCTGACGGGGAATCCAGCCCAGAGGCATGAGGGCCACCGACACCCTGGCCCCAGGAGCCCGCAGCAAGGTCTGGACACCTGGGGCTGCCCACGGAGACAAGGGTGACAACTGCGTGCAGGGCTTGCACCTCCTCACTGCTCCATGGACTCAGACAGCCAGCAGCCACCGAAGGTGACAAGCGGCAGTGAGGTCCAGAGGACCAGAGTGCAGCATGGAGCCACACAGGGTGCAGACTTCCGTGATGGGTACAGGCCCCAAAGCATGAGAGCCAGGACTCAGACAGGGAACTGCACGCTGTTCACAGCCATGTGATTCACAACAGCCACGAGGAGAAAGCCAGGCGACATCCACAAACTGACGAACAGAAGTGGCGGGATTCCGGCCACATGGTGGAATATCATTCGGCCCTGAAGAGGAGGAAGGCCTGACACCTGCCACAGCCTGGACGGACTCGAGGACACTGCACTAAGCTGGCCAGTCCCCAGAGACAGGTCCTGCATGGCCCCACTCACAGGACACCCCAGAGGGTCAGGGCCGGAGACAGAGCGGGATGGGCTGGGGGCTGGGAGGGGTGGGGGTCTGAGGGGCAGAGCTGAGGGAGCCCTGGAGGCGCACGGCGGTGCTGGCTGCAGTGTGGATGGGCTCCGTGCCAAGGTGGGCTGCTTTATACCAGGTGCATTTCATCACAGTAAAAAATGAGACTACTTCTGCAGGGAGAAAAATCTTTCTCGGTAATGAGCAGAGGCAGGCGGTGGCCCGGCTGTGACTGGGGAGGCCGAGGGGAGGGGTGGCTGCGCTGCAGGTGTCGGGGCCGTCAGCTCCTGTGTAGGGGTGACCTCGACCCCCGCACGAGCCTAGCCGGCACTTTCAGGGGACACTGCCGTGAGCAGAACAAGGGCCAAAGAGCCGGCGAGCAGAGCAGCGTTCCACGCGTTTCTGCGAGCCTCCTCTTGCCAGGCCCCATGCCCGGAAGGGGGCTGTTCCCTCGACACCGGCCTCCCAGGGCCGTGGAGGACGCCCGGCCAGGCGCACTGGGATCACAGGAACTGCGAAGGGCTCTGCGGCGCCTGCGTGGGCTGCCTGATGAGCCCGAGTGTCTTCCGAAGGAGGCCTTTGCCTGGGACGCTCACGGCTGCTAAGGTCGGGGCAGATGCGGTGGTCTCGCTCCCACGCAGGAACACGGATGAGCTGCAGCGACGGCCACAGGGTGTTGGCACCGCCTGTGCCCAGCGCCAGCCCCCGCCCCATGTGCAGTGACGCGAGATCCTCCCCAGCAACCTGCAGGCAGCTCAAGCCACCTCAGCCTCGCGCTGAGCTTCCTGGGCCATGCGATGCTCACGCTCTTGCCCGGCAGGGTGGAAACTGCACGGCCGCAGAGGCACATGGGCACCCCAACACCTCGGATGCGTCTCTCCCTGAGCAGGGGCACCAGGCCCACCTGCCAGCCAGTGGGATCTGTGCAGGGGCGGAGGGTTTGGAGCTCACACCTGCCCCAGAGGGACTGGGGGGCCCAGGGTGCTTGCAGTGGAAGATTTCCGATGCACTCATGCACACCAGCACTGAGCAGGGCGAGGCTGGGCCCCGTCCAGGCTTGGGGAAGCTGGGGGAGAAGCTGCCTGTGCCCGCTGCCAAGAAGGTGGTTGGGTACGGGGCTCAGGCAGGCGATGCCAGCAGCTCCTCAAGGAACAAACAAGGTGCCAGTTCCTGGGAATGGCAACAGCTGTGGGCCAGGCGGGAGGAAAGTCCACAGGGGGTCAGTGTGCAGCCACAGCCTCGCCCTGCGGGTTTATGGCCAGATCCTGTTTCAGGCACAAGTCCAGCACCACCACCCTCCTGCTGGCCTCTTCCAGGAAGTGACGGGAGCAGGAACCAGGACCTGGAGCCCGAGACCTGGCCAGGATGTCGCTGGCTCCTCAATTCCAGAGCCACGGGGACAGCTGTGTGGCTCAGATGCGGGGCTGGGCCGTTGTGGAGAGCACCCCACTCCGTCCCCAGCACCCAGCTGCCCGGAGGCCCGCAGGCCCAGGGCGACCACACGGAGAGGATGGGGTGGCGAGGTGGAGCCAGGACCTCTGTGTGTGTCTGTCGGTCCTATGGGACTCCTGAGCCTCCGTGATCTCCGGGGGCAGGGGGTGCTGGGTTGGGAAGACAGGTATGGTGTGCTGGGGCCTCAGGCAAGGAATTTAGGGTGAGAATGGAGACCAGAGGTTGATGGAATTTAAGGAGGTTAGGCAGGGCTGAGGCCCAGGAGCTGGGGCCACACGGGATCCTGGCTCACTTGAGGCACTGGGCACAACAGCCTGGAGCCCCTCCTGTCCCGACAGGCCATCCCCGGCTAGCGCCTGCAAACTTCACAGACAGTGACGAAACCCCAGTGCCCCTCCCTGGGCGGGGGATAGTCCCTTCAGTGGGGCCCAGGCAGTCACCAGGGGACCAGGCACCCTCAGCCCACTTGCAGCACAGGCTCAGGCCACCAGGGGGACCGGCAGCCTCTCAAACCCTGCCCAGCTGGGCCTGCTGGCCACTGCTCTGCCCCGTGAATCCTAGGGCAGCTACTTCCTCCAGCTGTCAGCTGTGGGAGGAAGCCGTGTCCACTCCCATCTCCCACCCAGCCCTCTGGCCAGCCGGGAGGGGCCACCCTGGGCTGGGGCCACCCACACTGGCCCTCAGTACTCACCCTCAGCACGGGCAGCAGGTTATGGAGACGTGGCACTGCCCATCTTGTACTTCTGAGCCTGTGTGGCAGGGCCACCGCCTGGCCCAGCCTGTACCTCTAGCACCAGGGGGTGCAGGAGCTGCAGGGTGGAGCATCCTGCAGGAGGGGAAGGGATACAGGAGGGGCCAGTTTCCGGAGGTCACCTCAGATCCTGTTGAGGGACACAGGCCCAGGGAGGGCGCTGTCACTGCAAGACAGGGCTGGGAGAAGGTGCTGTGGTCCTGGTGGTCACAGTTGGTTCATCAGTTGGCTCTTCAGCCTGTGGGTCAGCTGCCGGGGCACAGCAATGCCAGGGGCTATGGGTCCCCCCAGACATACCTCATGCTCAGAACATGGCACAGGGCCCTGCATGAGCTGCTGGGAATCTGCATGCCTGGCAGGGAACCCCATGGCAGGCCCAGGGCAGAGCGTGCCAGAACCCATGCCCTCGTGGGGCCAGGCCATCCCATGTGGGGCTTGTGGACAGCAGCTTGGACATCACTGCTGGGTCATGGCCAGGTCTGGGGTGGGAAACAAGATGGGGGCAAAGTAGGTGGAGGGAGCCAGGCGACCAGGTGCCTCCAGTGGTCCCAGGCAGGTGCCAGGGTGTGGGGTGCCACCATCCTGGGCGGGCCTGCAGCTGGGCTCCCTGCTGGGGCGTCTGGAGCACAGCCTCCACCCGGAGAGACGGGAGAGAGGAGGTCGGGGCGGCCTCCAGGACTCAGGGATCCTGGGGCCTCTGGGGTCAGCTGGACGCCCCTCCCAGAGCCCAGGTCCCAGGAGACCCCCGTCCCTCACCTCAGCTCGGGTCCCCTCTCCCTGAGGTCACAGCTGCAGCCCCAAGACCAAGACACAAGGCCACCAGCAGGGGGCACCCGGCACCCTCGCTGTTTCCAGGCAGAGCTGGCCCAGGAGATTGCAGAAGCTGCGCTCTGCTGCTGGCCCGTTTGGTTGGTGGAGGTGGAGGTGGAGGTGGAGGTGGAGGTGGAGCCAGCTGGGACGGCACAGGTGCAAGGTGTGCAGGAAGTCAGGGCTGCACATGTTGCCTGAGTTCCAGAGTGAGCGCCTCAAACCCTGAGTACCCAAGAAAGTTTGTGTGTTCTTGTGCGTGCATGCGTGTGCTGTGTGCACGTGTGCACCACAACTGGGCAGAACCCCGCATGCGTGCGTGTGAGCACTGCGCCACTCTACACCGTGTGACCCCACACCCACCTGAGGCTGCACAGGCGCCATCCCTTGTTTTGCAGCCCCTCTGCCTCCACCTCCACCTCCTCCCCGCTCGGCCCTCAGAGCAGACAGCCCTGGGCAGCAGCAGGGCCGGAGGCTGCCCACTGGGCCCTGGTCTTTACAAAGCTCAGCTGACTGCTGTCTTCCAGCCGGCTCCGGCCTGGGCCGGGACACAAGCTGGGCTGAGAGCCCCTCTCTGCCCTGCCTCTCTGTGCCCCAGCTTCCTTCTCGGCATGGGGATGGCAGCTGCTGACTTGCAGTTCTCACACACACACAGCCACCTCGGCTGGGCTCCACAGGCGGAGGACAGAGGCTGGTCCCACGGTTTCTCAGCACTCAAGGCTCAGAGCCAGCAGTGCTGCAGCTGCAGTAGTCTCTGGAAAAACCACCGCATCCTGCAGGCTGTGGGTGTCCGACAGCCTGTGCACCAGGCCAGGAGGGCACTGTGCTTATACCAGGGTCAGCAAGACCCACAAGGCAGGTGCAGCCGAGCCTCCCCAAGATGGTCCTGAGGGCTGTCTGTCTGCCAGGGACAGGTGGCCCAGAGGCTGCATCGTGGCCAGCTGGGCCCCTCTTTGACCAGGCAGAAGCAGTGTCCCCAAGGGCCGGACAAGCGACACTCGGCCACCCTGGCACAAAATGCCCTTGTCAGCTGGGCCAAGGTGTCTACTTTGGCCAGGAAAGTGGGCAGAGGCCTCAGGAGGATATCGGGGGTCCCAGTCCCTAGAGACAAAAGATGTGCACAGCATGGTCCCCAACAGACTTTCCAGGGTGCAAGGAGTCCCTGCTCATGGCCTGGGCAACTGCTGGACCACTTGTGTGTGGACGCTGTGCCCCCAGCCCAAACTCACGCTGGAGTCCTCAGACCCAGGACCAGTGCTTACCTGGGAATGGGCTGGCTGCCATGGCAAGGCCACTGGGGAATCTGGCCACAGACACTCAAGGGGCAGAGGCCGGGACAATGCCACATGGCAAGGAGGACCAAGCCCCGCAAACGCAGACGCCTCTCGTGGGGAAGGAGCAGCTGCCACCCAGTGCAGGCTCCAGCCACGGCTCCGTGAGAGCCTGTGTCCCAGGGTGAGTCCCATCCACAGCGCACAGCCCCACAGCCTCGGTGCAGCAGCACAGGAGAGGTGACAGGGCTGCCCGGAGCCTCAGCACCCAGGAGGAGCCAGTGAGGGCCAGCCGCTCGAGGAGGGTGGATGGGGCCACGGGCTCTGGGGTGTTTCTCCCTTGCTCTTCTGAACTTTTCCACTTATTTATTGTTTTTTTGGTTTTGGTTTTGGTTTCTTCTTTTGTTTTCCACCTTTTTTTTTTTGGTACCAGGGATGGAACTCGGGATTGGGACCTTGCCCTTGCCAGGCAGGCGCCGGAACCACTGAGCTAAATCCCCGGCCCTGTCTTTCACTTATTGTATCACTTCACAGTTTTTGTTTCTGGAGACAGGGTCTTGCTCTGTGGTCCAGGCTATCCTTGAGCTTACTATGTAGCCCAGGCTGGCCTCAAACTCGTGGCTATTCTCTTACCTCAGCCTTGCAAGTGCTGGGATTATATGCGTGCATCACCACACCTGGCTTCACTTCACAATTTTCAAAAGTGAGTCAGGATTCAGCCATGAGGGGCTTAGGTCTGCAGCAAGCAGTGTGGCAGAAGCTGGATTTAACAAGGGGAAGAGGAAATGCATGAAACAGCAGGGGGCCAGGGCATAGGGCATGGGGCACAGGGTACAGAGGTCCTGAGAGACAGTGGCTTAGTCTGTGGGTTCTCAGCAGCCTGTGTTTCCCACTGCAAGATGCCCAGGCCAGTGCAGAGCCCGGGTCTAGGGGGCCTCCTGGCTCTTGCCGTGGAAGTTCTCCAGGCCTCTGTACATGGGCACCGACCCATCCCAAGGACTTCATCTCCCCTAACTCCCCACCTCCTCCACCTTCACCGAGCACCAGGATTCCAACATCCACGTGGGCATTTCGGGGCTCCCAGACTCCCTGTCCATAGCAGACACTTGCCCAGGGCACCAGCTGGAGGGAGCTCCCAGGACGTGGCCAGGAGGGGACTGAAGAGGAGCCACTGAGGGTCCTGGCTGACCGGGGTGGCCAGAGACTGGCAAGGACAGAGCTGGCCTCAGAGGCCTGGGGCCTGCAGAAGTTGCTCCTGTGGTCCCCGAGTGTCCCCAAGGCCACATGTGCAGCTCCCTGCTGGCCAGAGGAGGTGGGAGCCCTGACAGCAGGGCTGGGGGGTCTTCTGGTCATAGGGGAGCTGTCCTCAAAGGGGACAGTGAACCCTAGCACCCCCACTTTCTCTTCACTTCCGGCCCTGTGGGTTTTGTGTAGCTCTGCCTGGTGCTCCGCCTCCGTGAACTGCCTCAGGCCCAGGAAAACAGGCACTGAAACCTCGGAGTCTGTGAGTCAGGATAGCCCTCATCTTCCCGGGTTCGTTGCCTTGGGCATTCTTCTATAGCAGCAGCAGGCTGCCTGGAGCCCCCTCCAGAGCTCAGCAGAGCCGTCACCCAGGCATCTGGGGCAGAGACCGAAGGACAGGGGCAGCAGTGGCAGCTGGGGGTGGCAGTGCCAGGGGGCACTGTGGCTCACACTGTGGCACGACAGGTGCAACACAGAGCCTGGTCCCAGCAGTGAGTTGCCCTGGGGGAGCACAGCTCCTCCCGTGCGTGAAGCTGGCATACCACGAGAGCAAGGCCCAAGTGTCAGCTGCTCCCAGCACAGCTCCGAGGCCTTCACAGGGACCCAGAAATACCCACTCCACACCTCACCGTGTCGGTGCCAGGCAGCAAGAAAGAGCTCGATCCAACTGCAACCAGAGGAAGAAATCACAAAGCCACGAGTCGGCCTCAGCAGTCCTGGCCATGAAGCCTGTCCCTGTCACTGAACCACGGTGGGAGAGAGGGACAGTATGAGACAGAGCGCAGAGGATGCAAAACAAGGCCTAGACTAAGCTTCCTGAGGTGGGAGTGACCTCGCACCAATGGAGAACAGCGGGCGAGACCATGGGACAACACGCACTGTGAGTGTGGGAGGGAACGGGGCACAGGGGAGGAATCCACGGCACGCAGCTCCTGGAGGCACTGACGTGGGCAGCTCAGGAAGCCCGTTGCACGGTTCATGGAGCCAGAGACGGCGAGGGAGGCAGGGCTGGAGAAATGCAGCAAAGCGTGATGACAACTGGACAGCCACCCACACAAGACACCCGCCAGCCCACATGCAAGGGACGCGGGAAAACGACCCGCACGAATCGTGACCGGATGGCCAGGGCGCAGGGCGCAGAGTGGGAACCTCGGAGCAGCACAGACAGTGCGGAAAATGCGTCCTTTGGGGACACACGACCTGCCACTGCCATCCTGCTTTGGCAGAGGCTAGGAGGACAGTCCACCTCTGCCCAGAAGGAAGGCACAGGACAGAATACACACCTGGGCGGTAACTGTGTGGGCACACATGTAAAATGCTCTTTTATTATTATATCTTTATTTTTATTTATTTTTGCAGTGCTGGGGGTGGAGCGCAGGGCCTCCGGCAAACTCAGCAAGTGCTCGGCCCCTGAGCTACGCCCCAGCCATCTACTTATTAGTTAAACTTCTCTAAAAGGTTATTGATTAAACAAAGACTAGCAACGTAGTGTGAGTCTATGACATATGGCAAAGTAACTGTACAACAAAACTTACACAAAGCCTGGGAGGAAGGAAATGCAGCCATGCTGTCTAGAGGTTCTTATTCTATTGGTGACCTGTTAGGCTATCTCTGGAAGGCAGACTGGATCAGTTAGACAGGCACTGAAACCATAAGATGACTGCAGAGTAATAAAACAGGGTCACAGCAAAGCAAGAAAGACTGAATCACAAAAAACACTCGAATAAGGCAAAAGAAGGCAGAAGAGAGAGAAAGGGGAAGAGGACAGGTGGAAGAATGAGAAAACCACAGCAGGTGGCAGGATTAACCTGACCGTGTCACAGCTATGAAGTGTGAGTCTGACCACCCCAGTGAGAAGCCAGCAATTGTCAGACTGGATTAGAAAGCAAGACCTAGAGTGAGTAAGCTGGTACCTACCCCAGTCCCAGCACTCTGGGAGCCTGAGCAGGAAGACTACAAGTTCTAGGCCAGCTTGGGCAACTTAGGGAGACCCTGTCTCAAAATAAAATGAAAAAAGGGCTAGAGATGCAGCTCAGTGATAGAGCACACCCAAGATTCCATCCTAATACCAAAAAAACCCAAAAGACCCAGAGCCATTCTGTAGGATGCCTAAAGGAACTTGCCATAAAGCACACATGAGCTATGAAAAGTAAGGGGACAGAAAAGGCCCCCCCTGCTAACACAGAGAGAGGGTGCACCAGTGCGAGCATCAGACAAAGCGGCTGGAGAGCCAGGGTTGCCACAGGAAACTCTCGAGCGCCGAGACCTCCACAAGAGCAATGCTAGAGGCCCTGTCCTGGAGGAAACCGCTGGCCGTGCTATCCAAGCACTGAGCAGCTGCCCTCCTGGGAGTGAGAGGCCACCGGCCCAGAACCGTCTTGGCAAAACCTCCCTCGATAAAGGCGACCCTCGCCCTGGCAGCAGCCTCCCCACTCCACTGCTCCCCACCCACAGGGGAGGGCAGGTCACCACAGCTCAGCCAGGTGCTGAGGGGCTGCAGATGATGTGTAAATGGGGGTCCACTTGGCGGAGCCTGAGGCCCACGGGTGTCTGGAGCCCAGGCTCACGCTGTCCTCCAGGCCCCGGCCTCAGCCTGGGGCACTCTGTGGTCACCACCAGCTTGGGGTGAGGCCCGCTTGGGGACTGAAGCCTGGAGGTGACACGGCCTAGGACAGACGAGGAGGATGCAGAGCCCCGTGCAGGGGACCAAGGCAGTGCGGCAGCAGGTCCCTGGAGGAAGGTGGGCAGGATGGAGACTCACCGCATGCCCCAAGGGAAAGCCACCAGGGGCAGACACCCTGGCACAGGGGAGGGTCACAGGGATGCTGGGGATGCCCTGCATGGACAGGCAGCAGCCCAGACCCCACAGAGCAACAGGGCTGAGGCTGGCTGCCACCTCAGCCACCCAGCATCACCTGACTGCCAACCTCTCCCAAGCAGGGGTGCCCAGGGCTGGCCCTGCTGCTCCCTGACCCAGCAAAGGCAGCCAGGCGGTTCTCGGCCCTGCCAGGATGCCAGTGCCAGTGGCTCTGAGCTTACACCCGGGTCCATGCTGTCCGTGCTGGGGCAGGACAGGTTCCTAAGCGCAGCCTGGCCAGAGGCAGAGTGCTGCTGCTGGTGCTGGAATCTGTCCCAGGCTCTCAGTCCCTGGGCCGGATGGGGAGCGGCTGCTCCCTGGCTTTTCTCCCCAGGGCAGTCATGCTCAACCCAGTGGGCCCCAGGGACAGGGCGGGCAGCCAGCCAGTGGGTCCACTCTGGCTCCTCTGCAAATGAGACATAGGCTTAGCTGTGGTGCAAGCCAGGCCCGAGCCTGCTCCTGAGACCTCTGGAAGCACCTGCCGGGGCAGAGGCCACTGTCCTCGTCCTGGCCATCCAGGAGCCACAGTGGGGTGGGCAGTGCTCACCATGGACCCAGGAAGCTACAGCCCAATCCCCTCCCAGATCCTAGGCTCTGGGGCCCATCCAAATCCCTGCTTGGTGGCTAGGCCCAGACCTGGGTGTGGAGACGGGTGTGGAGGGCAGAGGTCCGAGCCAGACAGAGAGCAGACAATTGCCCCTTGTCCGGCTGCTGGTTCCGCTCTCCGAGGCCAGTGGGACCTGGGTCTTATCGCTCCGCGCTCCAGGAACAACGGCCGCACACACTCTTATCTCACCCCTGCAAGCCATGTGCCAGCGCATTCATGGACTCCCAGGTCTGGGGACAAACATGCCATTCAGCACGAGCTCCCACAAACCAGCGTGTGGAGAGGGAAGGGTGCCCAGAGCTGCTGGGCCCTTCTCCAGATGGAGCCCTGGACCTAAGCTGCCAGCTCACCAGGGCTGTGTGCCCTCCAGGGGTGCCTGTGGCCCTGCACACTGAGGAGGGAGGAGCCCCTAGAATGCAGTGCTCACAGGAAGCTCGGCCAAGGCTCCCATGCACGCACACACAGGCACAGGCACAAGTACAATTACTGACACACACAGGCACCCATGTGTGCACACCTGCATATGCTCAGGCACGCAAGGCACGCACACATACACAGCTGCACGTATGTATGCAAGCACACAGCCATGTGCTACACACTTGCATGTGTACACTTGACACATATGTACAGTGACACACAGGGGCATCCATGCATACACAGGCACACATTGTACACATGCACACATAGAGCTATATGCTACACATTTGCACTCAACATGCAAGCAGACACACATAGGCATACATGTATACACACATGTGGTCATGCATGCGTATGCACTCTTGCACACACATGTACACATACAGGCACAGGCACATTGCTAACAGAGGTGTCCACACATACAAAGGTGTTTGTGTGCATACATGTGAACAGGCCCCTTCATCTGCATGCACACTTGTACATGCATGTATGTGCACACACACATGGTTGCTAACGTAGGCAAGTGCTCATACATAGGCATATGTGTGCATACACACAGCCATATATGCATTGCATACGTGCACAGGCACATTGCTGACACTTAGGTGTGCATGCATGCAAGGCCACATGTGCATGCATGCATACAATGCATGGCCATCTCCATGCACACCTGTACACTCACACACATGTGCCCAGGCACTCGTATATTCACTGGCAGAGGCATCCACATATACAAAGGTGCACACACACGTGCACACACAGCCATCTGCACACACACTTGTGCACACACATATGTGCATAGGCATGCATATACTTGCTGGCACATAAAGGCATGCACTCATACACAGGTGTACTTGTGCACAGGTGTAAACACATTCATATATGTGTGCACACACATATATAGGCACACACAGCCAGGCACACAAGCCTGGTCGACTGGCTGAGCAGGATGCAAGGGTCCCAGTCATACCATCGAAGACCGGGCCCCTCCTACACTGGCTGCCCTGGGCATTGACCCACCAAGATCCCTCTCCTCGCCTGTCCTGCATCCAAGCTGGTTGAGAGCAGGCTCCACCATGTCTGCTCCCCTTTTTCCCCCTGAATTGTTGATGCTGGGTGTATTAAGAAGAAATGGCCGAGGACGAGACACCCAGAGGTCACACAGTGCGCAGGGTAAACTTCTACACCATCCTGGACACCGACAGTGATTGTCTACAAAAGCCATGTGGTTGTTCTATTTCCTTTTGATATTGGGACTCACATTCAGGACCTCATACATGCTGAGCATGTGGCCTACCACCCAGCTACACTCCAGCTCCAAACAGCATCCTATGAAAGCTAGAGCTGATTTAGGGTAACACGCAGCCATGGGTTCTGTCCAGGGGCGGTGGCCCTGGTGTATAAGGCAAGTGACAAGGGGCCAGGAACTTAGCCGTCTGGGAAATGAGGCGAGGGCCACTTGGAGAACTGAGGCAGCCAGGTCTGTGCTCAGGCAGGGGTGGGGGCCCGATGGGGGTGCCCTGATCACTGGCCTCCACGGGGTCTGCCAGAGCCCCCCCCAGATGGAGCAGGGCCTGCACCAGGCCCAGGCTGCCCACATGGCGGACAATCACGGTGGCTCGTCAGTCCCCATGCCCTGCCTTGGCCTCCGCAGTGCCCCGACCTTTACCCCAGCCCCGCGCGGCTCCCACCCCTCGAGGTGCTGACACACGCCCACCCTCTGCTCCTGCCCTCAGACCTTGCCCAGGAGCCTCTGTTCTCCCCGTGGGTTTGGGACGAAGTGTGCCCCGGGGCACCGTGTCGCCACTCGCCCACACACAAAGGCTCCAGGGATGGGCAGCTCTGAGGACCGAGCCCTGCTCCTGGCCCAGCTGAGCTGTGCCTGCCACAGCACGGGGCCTGCCCCTCCCAGGAAGCCACCACAGGGTCTCCAGGCAGGCAGGAGGACATCCCAAGTCAGGCCCACCACCCTCCATGCCTGAGTCCACCCAGGGGGTCCTGGCCTCAGGCAGAAGATTCAGCACACAGGTACTTTTCGGGGGTTCTGGGATGGGCATGGGGCTGTCCAGGGTGGGTGCCTCCTGACACCCCCAGACGTGCCCTATGCCAGCCGCTCAGCTGTGCAGCTGACAGTGCCACCATGCAGGCAGTGGTGAGGGCCCTGGCAGTCTCTGCCCCTGCCCCAGGCTGGCCCCACAAGGTGCTGGGGACCCTGGGGTGTGTCAGCCCCCCACTAGGAGTGGTGATAACGGGGCCACTTTTGGCCGCTACAGATTTTTCCAAAGGAGGCCAAGTGTGATAAGGCAGCACCCAGATCCTGTTTGGCCCCCACTGGGCCGCGCGTGGGGCACAGGTGGGCGTGGCTGGGCCAGGGCCCGCCACGCCTATATAAGGCAGGTGCCGCTGGCTGCCTAAGTCGAACAGGTAACAACAGCAAGACCGCCAGGCACCCAGCAGCGGGGCCAGGAGCAGCGATCTCTTCCCAGAGCCAGCACCATGCTTGGCCCCAGGCTGCTGCTGCTGCTGCTACCGTTCGGAGTGGCCTTGCTCAGGGGTGGTGAGTGGGGGGCGTGCCAGGGGAAAGGTGCCAGGGCTGCTCGCCTCACTGCCTCGCTGGGTGGATGGGCGGCCTACCAGCCAGGTGGGTACTGGCACATGGTGCAGGGGCAGGAGCCCCATCCCCGTGAGCCAGAAGGATGGCGCTGGGGGTGGGCACGGGCCCTGGTGCAGCTGCCCCACAGGGCAGGCCTGGTGCTCTCCTGCTCCTTAAAGCCTGGCCTCGAGAGGCGCCCAGGCATTCAGGTAGCCAGGGTGAGCCCTGCAGTCCTCAGTTTCCCCTTCTGTCCAAGGCACAAGCTGTCCCCTAACTCAGCCCCGTCACCACCAGGGAGCCCCCATGGTGACTGCGGCTAACACAGCCCACAGCTGAATGTAGCAGCCCGGACTCCAGGGCAGTGCGGCCCCTCTCCAGCCCCTCCCCACCACTCGGCTGCCAGTGTGGAGCCCTGTGGCAGTGCTCAGAGCCAGGATGGGGTGAGGCCTATGGGAGGCTGGGGGGCCAGAGCCCCCTCGTTTCAGCAAATGCTCTTTGAGGGACAACTCAGTATAGCCTGAGGGAGGCAGACAGCAGGGTCACAGGGCTGGGGCTGGTGGAGGGGCAGCAGCAGGCAGGCTGCCAGGTGCAGAGGAACACGGCGTGCTCGGGCCACCCTGCGCCCTGTCCAGGGCTGAGAAAGGCCGGGGGTGGTGGGCAGCATGCCCAGCTGGCCCCAGAGACCTGAGGGTCAGTGGACAGACAGGAGACACAGGTGCCCAGCAGGGGTCACGGCCAGACACAGGAGGTGGGGACTCCAGGAGACTGGAGGGGAGGGAGTCTCCACAGGTGGACTCAACACCTAGGAGGGGCTGGGGCCGAGAGGGGCCTGAGGAGTGGAGCCCGGGGTCACCTCACAAGGGAAGGTGAGGAAACTGAGCCCCGGAGGGTCTGGCCCAGGGACACGGGCGAGGCTTGCACCCCCAGAGGTGCCGGCCCAGGGGTGGGGGCAGCTGCCTCCCTGACGTCATCCCTGGAAGGAAGGGGGGGCAGACACCAGATCCAGGCCCAGGGCGACCTCCCCCAGCCTAGGGTGGACACGGGACCTGGGTGTCAGCCACACTCAGCCACTCGGAAAGCGACCCTAAGGCCAAGGGGGCACATCTGCTGTGCGGCAACCTGTGCCGGGGGCCTCCAGCTACTTCAAGCCATCGCCACACGAGGGGCTCCTTCCTGCCCAGCCTGGAGCTCCACTGCCCACCACCGACTCGAGACCAAGCACCTGTCCTCCACCCAAGGCACATGGCCCTTGGCAGGCCCTGTCCTCCTGCTGTCCCAGATGCATGTGCCCTGACAGTGACCAGCAACAGTGGTGGGGGTAGGGGCGAGCATCACATCCAAAGCTCACCAGACCTGGCGTGGAGTCCAGGTGGGCAGGGACAGGACGTCTGAATCACATCCTCAGGGACTCACTGTGCATCCCGCTGGGCCACAGACACCTGCCCGGCCAGTGCTGGGACATCACCAAGGCCCACGGGAGCAGAAGGAAGGGGCAGAGCCTAGGGGCGGGGACTGGAGAGGAGCAGGCTCTGCAGAGCCAAGCGGGGCCACCTTCCAGCCACCTTGCCCTGCCCTGAGGTCACCATGACCCTTGCCACCTGGGCATCTCCATGGCAACATCATTGCAGTCCCAGGACCCCCCCACAGGCTGTCCTGGAGGTGCTAAGGAGGAAGAGGCAGGGAGATGGCCGAGCATAGAGCTCAGAAGAAATGGGCAGCCTTAGCTTTGGTCAGCCTTGGAGCGCTGCAAGAGCCAGATGTGGATGCCTTGGGGACCGGGCCAAGCTGAGGACAGTCGGGGCATCAGAGGGGCAAGGAACACAGGGGCAGAGGGGCTGAGAGGCTAGAGGGGCAGAGAGGTAGAAGAGGAGGGTCTCAGGGCTGCCTGTTCAAGCCCAGCCCCCTGCAGGGCAATGTGTTCCCCACAAGCCCTGGCCAAGTGAACTGGGGCTGTGCACACACCACAGGTTCCCATGGGCACAGCACACCTGGCTCACCCCACCCTCCCAGTGCTCCTTGCTGCCGTGGCTTCTGCTGCACACATGTGTATGCACATGTGTGTGCTGTGTCATGTCTGTGCATATGTGGACACGTGCCTGTGTGACACATCCATATGCATGTGTGTGTAGTTTGTGTGTATGTACATATATGTGCATGAATGTGTTTGTTGGCGTGTGCATGCATGTGTGTACATGTGTATGCATACGTTGCACCGTGCCTATGCATGTGCACACATGGATGTGTCTGTGCACATGTTGAGTGTGAGCATGTGCATGCATGTGTGTGTGCATGTATATCTTTGTGCATATATGTGCGCATGCCTCTGTGGGCATGTATATGTGCACTTTGTGTATGTGTGCCTGTGTATGCATGCATGCGCATGTGTGTTGGTTTCATGTGTGTGAATGTGCACATCCCTGTGTGTGCAAGTACGTGTGTGCACGTGCGCATGCGCCCTCCCAGGGAGCGTGCACCCCAGGTACCCGTGCTGTGCCCGCAGCCCTGCCTGTGACAGGCCGACGAGCCTGCGCTGGCAGCTGAGCTAATGGGTGAAGAGTGTGGGAGACTGCGGGAGCACAGAGCCCGTGACCATGATGGGTAACTGAGGCGCCCACCCTGCCAGAGTGGGGCTGGAGCGGGGTCCCAGCACAGACCACGCCCCCCACAGGCCTGGACCCACCTCCTCTGCCCTCCCTGGCCGTCAGGAGCTAAGGACTCCAAGGCTTGGTGCCACACGCTCCCTCACACTCACATGCATCCTCAGCAAGCACACAGTGTGGGACTGGGGCCTTGAGGGTGAAGACCCACAGCCAGCAGAGCTGGGCCTCCAGCTGAGGACTGGGTGAGCCGGGCTGAGTGGCCACGCCCTGTCTTACAGAACCCCCAGCTGGAAATGCCACAGGCACGGCCACCCAGGGCCACCTGCAGTCCTGTAAGACCCAGAACTGGGTGGGCAGGGTGGGTGAGCCATGGGGAAGAGTGCTCCCTCCTCCCCTTCCCACCCAGCCTGCGCCCCGGGCTCCCGGCCCACCTGGCTTGCTAGGTGGCACAGGAGGCCTCAAGGTCTGCCACTCTCTCTGCAGCCCCAGACAAGGGCTGGTGCTCCACGTGGGGCACTGGCCACTTCGCCACCTTCGACCACCATGCCTATGACTTCTCGGGGACCTGCAACTACGTCTTCGCAGCCACCTGCAAGGACGCTCTTCCTGCCTTCAGCGTGCAGCTGCGGCGAGGGCTGGACGGGGCCATCTCCCGGCTCATCGTGGAGCTGGGAGCCTCCACCGTCACCGTGGGCAACGGAGCCATCTCCATCAAGGACGTGGGGTAGGCCAGGGAGCCAGGCCAGCCCACAGCCACAGGGCACCAGGGGACAGGTGCTGACCATTCTTGCCCACAGGGTGGTCAGCCTGCCCTATACCAGCAACGGGCTTCAGATCGCACCCTACGGCCCCAGCGTGCGGCTGGTGGCCAAGCAGCTAGAGCTGGAGCTGGTGGTGCTGTGGGGCCCGGACCCCCACCTCATGGTGAGGATGCAGGGGCGAGGTGAGGCATGTGGGGGTCACACAGGCGGGGTCTCGCCTGCTGTGCCCTCACCGGCAACAACCTGGGCTTGGCTGGTGGCCGTTCCCCCATCTGAAAATAAGAAGGACGCAGCAGACATGGAGCTTGGAGCAGGCACAGGGTGGGTGGGGTGCCTGGCCAGGAGCAGGAGGGGCGGCCCCCAGCAGCGCCTGCCACCCACTGCAGGTCTTGGTGGAGAGGAAGTACATGGGCCAGATGTGTGGGCTGTGTGGGGACTTCGACGGGAACGTGGACAACGACTTCATAAGCGAGGATGGTAGGTGTGCAGGGGTGGGGGGAGGCCCAGGCCTTCGGGGGCCCAGCCTTGAGGTGATGACCCCACCCCTCCAGGCAAACTCCTGGAGCCCCACAAGTTCGCCGCACTCCAGAAGCTCGATGACCCCAGTGAGATCTGCGCCTATGAGGCTGTCCCCAGGGCCCCCAGTCTGCATGTCCAGGACGTATGTCAGGCACCAGGGGCCACAGTGGGCTGGCCCCAGGGTGGATGGGATGGGGGACAGGACCCCAGGGTCACCCACACCCTGGGCCTCGAACCCGCTGTGTTGTGGGCTGTGGCCTTGGAGGAGACTGAGCTCCGCCCCCCAGGCCGAGACCTGCACCCGGCTGCTCGCCCTGGTGTCCCCCGAGTGTGACGTGCCCAAGGAGTCACTGGTGCACAGCTGCCAGGTGGACATGGCGGCATGCGACCTGCCTGGACAGCCGAATTGCAGCTGTGCCACGCTGTCTGAGTTCTCGCGCCGCTGCAGCATGGCGGGCCAGCCCGTGAGCCGCTGGCGGGGCCCCAGCCTCTGCGGTGAGTCCCAGGGCAGCAGGGAGGGGGGTGCCTGGGGGGTGGGCTCTCAACACACTGCTCTGTGTGCAGCGCTGGGCCCGTGCCCGGCCAGCCAGGAGTACCGGGAGTGTGGAGAAGCCTGCACTGAAACCTGCTCCCACCCACAGCACAGCTGCCCCGGCTCCTGCACCTTCGGCTGCTTCTGCCCAGAGGGTAAGGGGACACCAGCACCCTCCCTGACCCTGACCCTGACCCTGACCCTGACCCTGACCTTGCCCCAGCCCTGACCCCAAGCTTAACCCTGACTCTGACTCAAACCCTCTCTCCTTGAGGCCGCACCCTGACCCCCACCCAGCTCAGCACAGACATCCCACTAAGTCCTCGCCCCAGAGCCCTCAGCCACCCCAAAACTGCACTGCTCCAGCTCTCCAGGACCCCAGGGCTACCCACCCTCACAAACCCATGGGGAACAGTGTCCACGGGGGTCTGAGCCTGGCTGGGCGAGGTGGCTCAGAGCTAGGTCTGACAGAAGCTCGTGTCCCCGAGGCCTGCGGGACTGCACCACCTTGGTGAGGGGTGGCACGCACACGCCCAGGTGCCACAGAGGTGGAATTCGCCAGCAGGGCTGGGTAGGGTGGAGGAGGAGCCCTGGGGGCACCTGGGATAGCTGTGGGGGTGGGGACAGCCCAGGAGGGGAGGTCAGCCCACCAGACCCAGGATGGCCTCTCCTGCAGGCACCGTGCTCAATGACCTCTCCACAAACCGCACGTGCGTGCCACTCAGCCAGTGCCCCTGCATGCTCAACGGGGCAATCTACAGCCCCGGCGAGGTCACAGCAGCCGCCTGCCGGACCTGGTGAGCACTGGGCACTGGCAGGGGAGGGCACGGGCTCTGGGGGCCCTGCCTGCACCGCCTCACCGTGCCCACCCACAGCCAGTGCACCACAGGCCGCTGGAGGTGTATGGAGAAGCCATGCCCCGGGACCTGCTCCCTGGAAGGCGGCTCCTTCGTCACCACATTCGACACGAGGCCCTACCGCTTCCATGGCACCTGCACCTATATCCTCCTCCAGGTATGGTAGGCTTGGGGGCAGGCGGGCAGCCCCTGCACTTCTGAGCCCCCAGGTAGGACATGCTTGGGGACGAGTGGGCACCCCTCCATGCCTGAGCCCCCTCCCCAGAGCCCACAGCTCCCTGACGAAGGCACTCTCATGGCCGTGTACGACAAGTCGGGCTACTCGCACTCGGAGACCTCCCTGACTGCTGTCATCTACCTGTCCCGGAAGGTAAGGCCACCCACCCGCCCCACGGCCCCCTCCTGCTCCTGCTCGCTGGCCCCTGCCCTGATCATCCCCTGACCTGGGCAACCCTCCCTCCAGGACAAAATTGTGATCTCAGAGGATGAGGTGCTAACCAACCACGGAGACACCAAGCGGCTGCCCTACAAGACACGTAGGTCCTCTTGCCAGCAGAGCCCCAGGTGAGGCCAGGCCAGACAGCCACTGAGCACATGTCCTTGCAGGTAACATCACCATCTTCAGGCAGACGTCCACCCACCTCCAGATGGCCACCACCTTCGGGCTGGAGCTCATGGTCCAGCTGCAGCCCATCTTCCAGGCATACATCACTGTCGGGCCCCAGTTCCGAGGCCAGGCCAGAGGTGGGCCTTGCCCCACATCACCCTCGCCTGACCCAGTCACCCCATCCCTGCCATGGCCAGCAGTGGGGCAGGGATGGGGGACAAGCGAGTCTCACTGCCCCAGGGCCCCGGGAATGCCCATGCAAGGCCAGCGATGGCCCCTCCCGGGCCCAGCTGGAGAGAGGAGCTTTGGGAAGGAGACACCGGAGGGCAGGTTGGGGCTCAGTCACCCTCATGCCTGGCTGGCTCAGGGCTCTGTGGCAACTTCAATGGGGACACCACCGACGACTTCATGACCAGCATGGGCATCGACGAGGGCACGGCCACTCTCTTCGTGGACTCCTGGCGGGCAGGGAACTGCCCAGCTGCCCTGGAGCGTGAGACAGACCCCTGCTCCATGAGCCAGCTCAACAGTGAGTGCCCTACTGCCACCATCCTGGGCCCAGGCCCATCGGGCCGGGTCGGGAGGTGAGGAGACCCATGGCCATCTGTCCCCTAGAGGTGTGCGCGGAGAGCCACTGCTCCGAGCTGGTGAGGAAGGGCGGCGCATTCGAGAAGTGCCACGCCACGGTGAACCCCACACCCTTCTACAAGGTGAGGCTGGGGGCACATCCCAGGCAGCTGGGACCCCACCCCAGGGGAGGAAGCTGCGTCATGCCCACACCATGCCTGGCCGCTCACCCACAGAGGTGCGTGTACCAAGCCTGCAACTACGAGGAGACCTTCCCCCACATATGCGCTGCCCTGGGCACCTACGCGCAGGCCTGCGCCACCCAGGGTGTCCCGCTCTGGGGCTGGAGGAACAGCGTGGACAACTGCAGTGAGTGCCCACCGGGTGAGGGGTCGTGGGGTCCCGGCCCAGGTGCCCATGCAGACAGCCTGACCTGGTCGGCCCCCTGCAGCCATCCCCTGCACTGGCAACCGCACATTCAGCTCCAACAGCCGGGCCTGTGGCCGCACGTGCCTGTCACTCTCCGACCGCGAGGCTGAGTGCCACGCCAGTGCCGTGCCGGTGGATGGCTGCAACTGTCCCGAGGGCTCCTACCTGGACCACAAGGGCGAGTGCGTGCGCAAAGCCCAGTGCCCCTGCCTGCTGGAGGGCCCCAAGTTCCTCCTGGCTGACCAGTCTGCCAAGCTCAACGGAGTCATCTGGTGCGGTCTGGGGCTGGGAGGGGCGGGGCCAGCGCCGGGAGGGGTCAGTGCTGCTGGGGGCGGGGCCGTGGCTGGGCGGGGCCGTGGCTGGGTGGGGTGGGGCGGGGCCGAGCCCTAAGCCCAGCCCTCAAACTGTCTCTCTCACAGCTACTGCACCAACGGGCGGCTGAGTTGCTCTGGGCAGCCGCAGATGTCCCTGGGTATGTACAGCCGAGGCCAGCCGCGACCTTGAGGTGTCTTGGCGTCCCCCAGGCCATCTGACGCACCCTCCTGCCCCCACAGCTTCCTGCCTGGCCCCCAAAACGTTCCAGTCCTGCGATCAGTCCGCGGAGGACAAGTTCGGGGCAGCCTGCGCACCCACCTGCCAGATGCTGGCCACGGGCACCGCCTGTGTAAGGGGCAGAGAGGCGCCGCCACGAGCACCACCGTCTGCTCCTGGGGCCGGGCAGGGTGGGGCCAGGCCACTGGAGGACTGGTGCGGTGCCTGTGGGGTTTCCTGAGGAGCCCAGTTTGGGAAGCCTGTGCACAGGGACGGAGAGCCCAAAGCAGGCAGGGGTGGGCACAGGCAGGAGGGCAGAGGGACAGTGGGGCTTACGGCTGCAGGGCCAGGCTGTGGTAGGCAGAGGCTGCTGACCCTGCCTCCCTCAGGTGCCCACCAAGTGCGAGCCAGGCTGCGTCTGCGCAAAGGGGCTCTTTGAGAACCCCAGAGGGGAGTGTGTGCCCGCGGAGCAGTGCCCATGCGACTTCGCGGGGGTCTCCTACCCAGGGGGCGCCGAGCTCCACACTGACTGTAAGACCTGGTAAGCTGCACCTCCCTGCAGGCCAGTGACACCCAAAGGTGGGGGGCATGGAGGTGGGGGGTGACCAGAGTGGGGATGTCTGAAGGTGGGTGCATGGATGTGGGTGCAGGAGGTGCGACAGTCCTCTGGGAACCCCGGGACACGTGGCGTGCCCGAAGAGGGCTGCCCATTGCCTGCTCTCTCCAGCACCTGCTCGCAGGGGCGCTGGGCCTGCCAGCAGGGATCCCACTGCCCCTCCACCTGCGTGCTCTACGGGGAGGGCCACGTGGTCACCTTTGACGGGCAGCGCTTCGTGTTTGATGGCAATTGCAAGTACATCCTGGCCACGGTACCAGCTAGGTGGGCAGTGGGGGGTTGCGGGGGGGCAGAAGTGGGGGCTCCTCCTCAGCACAGCCTCCCTGCAGGACGACTGTGGCACCAACAGTTCGCAGCCGAACTTCAAAGTCCTGACGGAGAACGTCATCTGCGGGAAGTCAGGGGCCACCTGCTCCCGCGCCATCGAGACCGTCCTGGGCGTGAGCAGCTGCCCCCTTCCCAGGGCAAGGGGCATCACCCCCAGGCCCCTGGCTCCACCTTCCTGTGCCTGGGCTAGACGGGGCGAGGATGGGAGCCCACAGCCCTCCCTGGCAGAGCCAGGCATTTCATGCACAGAATCAGTGTCCATGTGACCTGTGCCAGGTCTCGGGCAGGGAAGGGCTGCCAGGAAGCCAAGCCTGTTGTGTCCCCACTGGGCCCCTCACCAGGACCCCAGCTTGTGTCTGTGGCAGGCTTGGCAGGGTACAGGCTGGGACATGAGGACAGGCAGCTCGTGACAACCCCGCCCCACAGGGCCTGTCCATCACGATGGCAGACAGCAGCTACACGGTGCACGGTGAGGACCCCCACGTGCACTTCCAGGTGCAGTCCAGCGCCCTGAGCCTGGTGCTGGACGCACACATCCCCGGCAGGCTCAACCTGACACTCATCTGGAACAAGCACATGAGCGTCTCCATCAAGATCCACCGCACCTCCCAGGTACCTGCCACGCACCCAGGCGCCCGGCCCACCTGGTCTCCAGGCAGGGCTTTCATTCCAAGCCCATCCCCACCTGATGGCACTGCAGGACGCCCTCTGTGGCTTGTGTGGCAATGCCAACGGGAACATGAAGGATGACTTCGAGACGCGCAGTAGGTACGTGGCGTCCAGCGAGCTGGAGTTCGTGAACTCCTGGAAGGAGAGCCCTCTGTGCGGGGACACGCGTGCCACTGTCGAGCCCTGCAGCCTCAATGCCTTCCGCCGCTCCTGGGCCGAGCGCAAGTGCAGCATCATCAATGGCCAGACCTTTGCTGCCTGCCACAGCAAGGTGGGTGCCAGCCCGGCCCAGCCTGGGACAGGCGGAACAGCACTCTCTCCTGGGGGCTCAGGTTGGCGGGGCTGGAGCGGAGACGGCCCCTCCTCCACAGTCTGAACACATCACAGGAAGTCAGTGGCAGCTCCAGGCTTGGCAGCACCCCAGGCAAAGCCCTGCTCTGGGGTGCTCGGCCAGGAAGGAGACATTCGAATGGGAGACCACGCCCTCCCCCTGGCCTGGGAGTGGGTAGGGAGGCCCTTGACTCCTGGGCTCCACAAGGGCTGAGAGGGCGGTGCCCCCGAGGCAGGAGCCAACCTGGCATGGAGGCTCTGGGCTCAGGAGCACAGGGGCATGGGGAGTAAGGAGAGGAGCTGCCGAGCTGCCCACGCAGGCCAGAGGGGGCTCGGCCCTGGTGAGCCACCTGGCCCTGAGGGGGGACAGAAGCCTCTGCGCAGCTCAGCTTTGGGTGTGGCAGTGGTCCCACAGGGCCGCCTGACCGGCCCCACCCACAGGTGTACCACTTGCCCTACTACGAGGCTTGTGTGCGCGACACCTGCGGGTGTGACATGGGCGGAGACTGCGAGTGTCTGTGCGATGCCGTGGCTGCCTACGCCCAGGCCTGCCTGGACAAGGGCGTGTGTGTGGACTGGAGGGCCCCCGACTTCTGCCGTGAGTGCCCCGCCCCTGGCCACGTGGGAGCCTCCCCCAGGCGGTGCCAGGCTGTGCCCTGCAGGGAGCCATGAACCCACGGACCCCAGGGAGGCCCCGCCCAGAGCAGAGCCTTCCTCACTGCTGACTGACACCCCCAGCCATCTACTGTGACTTCTACAACACGCACCCTCACGCGGGCGGCCAGGACCAGCCCACGCAGGAGGGTGACTGCCTGTGGCACTACCGACCCTGCCTCTGCCCTGGCAGCCTACAGAGCTTTGAGGGCACCAACATCGAAGGTATGGCATGGAGGCTCGGGCCTGCACTGCACACACGCCCGTCCACACGCCCGTGCATTCACACACGGTCGCGAGCAGCGCAGGGTGGGGCCGGTCGGCAGGGGCCTCTGAGCTGCTGCTCTCTGCCCTAGGCTGCTACAACTGCTCGAAGGACAAGTACTTCGACCACAGCACGGGGACCTGCATGCCCTGCGGTGAGTCAGCCCCAGGGCAGCCTGGGCCAGGGGCCCGTGTAGGCAGGAGGCCCCCAGCGGCCCAGCGCAGCCCAAGCTGCTGCCCCACCCGCTCTCGCTGCTTGCACTCTGCCCGCGGACGGCCCGAGGCCCCCACGGCCTGGCGCCGGTCCAGAGAGAGCAGCACAGGCCCCGGGGTCCCTGTGCTTTGCACCCTGCTCCCCGGCCGCCTCGGAGCAGCCCCAGCAGGAACCTTGCTGGGGTCCACTGCACCTTGCAGAGCTCCCTGCTCCCCACACCTCCCTGCCAGGGCTGCCAAGCTGGGTGGAAGGGGGACAGGAGGGATGGGGAGGGGCCGCTCCTGAACACCTCTCCTCTTGCAGCGCCACCCCCCACATCGCCACCGCTGCCACCCACCTCAGGTGACCACCCCCACACCAAGCCCCCAGGCTGGGCCAGCCTCAGTGTCCCTGGTGCTGGGTGGGGGGCGTGCCATCTGGGTCAGAGGTAAGAGCGGCAAAACTCAGCTTCCGACCCAGAGCTGGCCTCTAGGGGGGTCCCCTAGAACCTCGGAGGCCCGCACCAGCCCCTCAGGTCCACAGTGCAGTGAGACCACAGGGCAGGAGGACATGTCCTGCTGCCCAGGCACTGAGGGGACCGGACATCTGTCCACCCAGCGGGCCCAGAGGACCCTGTGTTCACTGCTCCTGGCACCAGGACACCACTGCCACACAGACAATGGAAGGTGCAGGGTCAGAGCAGGGAAGCCAAGAGGCCAGTACTCCTCCAGGAGGCTGAGGCAGGAAAGGGCCTGGGTCTCAGGAAAGGGAGGGACCTCAGACACGGGCTGGGGAACACAAAGAGGGCCTGTTCCCTGCAGAATCCCCTCCGACCACCACGGCAGTCACCACACCTGCCACCTCTCCTCGGGTGCCTACAGTCACGGTGATGTCAACAGCCACAGGATATACAGTCACTACAGCAACGACAGAGCCCACAGCATCATCCCCCAGCCCAGCCACTACATCCACAGCTCAGTCCACAGCACGGACCACAGTGGTACCACTGACCGTGAGCACGTGGACAAGGAATCCTGGACAAGGTGAGCAAGGGCCCATGGGACACCTGGAGTCCCAGGCCACGAGTCCCAGCACAGCTGAGCACGGCAGGTCAGCCATGGAGGAAGTCCAGGACTTCCCATAGGATAAAGGGGAAGGATGGGCCCACCAGCATATGGGGACACGGGGGGCAGCCTGGAACCACGCACACACCAAACCCTGGGGCCCCATGCCGAAAACCAGTACCACAAACGGCACATCCGGGACTGCACAAGTGGGGAGGAAGAGGAACCTCAAGTTCAGAGTAACAGCGCCTATGAATGGCTCAAGGAACCCAGATGGCCTGAAAGGGGTACAGGGAACAAGACGGGAGCAAAAACCAGAGGTCTAAAGGGAGAGACAGACTGCATGATGACACTCCTTTACACCCACAGGGACAAGCACCCAAGAGAAAATGCCAGGAACAGGGCCGGTCACACTCACACAGACAACAGAACAATACACTTTGGGAGAGACCGCCCTGGCCACACAGCATACCAGGGAGAGCAGGGGCACCGCGACAGCATCAACAACGCAACACACGGAAATCACGTCAAGCACGCTGCAGACCCATTCACCCAGCCATAGCGCACGCACGCTGCCCGTGTCCCACCCTCCACAAACAACGGAACCCACCTCGGGAACGTCGCTCACGACCACCAGCACCTTTCCAACCACATCTGAACCCCAGACCCTACCTCCCAGTGTCTCTCCAACCCTCACCCACATCTGAACCCCAGACCCTACCTCCCAGTGTCTCTCCAACCCTCAC